ACTACCCAGCTGTTGCAGACTATGGAGCCCTACATCAAGGTGTATCACGACAACATCAACACCAGCCGTCAGCAAAGCATAACAGATTTCTTCGCCAGCAACCCACCACAGCCAGCCCAAGCCAGTGATAGTGACAGTGAAGATGACTTTGAGGGATTTGTCAGGGAAGCCCTGACAACTGTAAGTGACAGTGATGGTGATGCACCTAGTAATGGTGATTCACCTGAGGGCCAGTAGCCTGCCCTCTGCCTCGGAACCAGCCTCCATCCCCGTACGCCGACCCATCTCTTCTACTAACGCAAGTGTTCCACCTAACTTTTACTTTTCCTAACCTAACCTTTATTTTTCCTATGTTAATCTTTATTTTTCCTAACCTAACCTCTTCTATATTACTTGTTTTTTCATACCATCATAAAGTTAAGATAAAATTTTTACTACAACATAGTTGTGTGTCGTCAAAAAGTGGAGTTTGGGGGTCGGCCCGGACTCTATTTCAATTAATCCCATATGTTATGTTATTCACTTTACGCGTTCCTCACTTTCCGCAGGACCCTCCGGGTTACATTAACCGCGTAAAGTGAGGGTTGACTGTATTTAAATACTGAAAAAAAGACAGAGGAAGGTGATTCTGATGAGGAAACTATTTGTGAGTCACCTGACTCGCCAAAAGCAATGGATGTCAAAATACCTGCTAAGTCACCTAAACCAACTAGTAGTGTTTTGGAGTGTGCAGAGAAGGACCATCCACCTGTTAGTTCATATTTTCGAACTACACCAACATCTACATACAGAGCAACAACACCAGATGATCCTCCTTCAAGACCAAGTTCCTCCTCACAAGTAAAGAGAAAATCCCTGTTTACAGCGACACCCCAGAAGAACAAAATTAGTTCTTACATATGCAAGGATCAGATGACGAAAGAACAGATCGTGAGCATTATAAAATAATGCCGTTAATATCATTCTTGTATAATTTATGGATTTTGAAAAATTGAGTTACAGTTTCACAGCTTTAAATGTCTAGAATTTGATCCAACTTGTATAAATCTAAATAACTTGAAACTATCCTCTAATATTTATTTTCTGTTACAGGATCAGTCTCAACTTGAAGTAGCTCGCGCTGTTTATGGAACAGGATGTTCATTAAGAATGGTTGAACACCCACTGGAAAATTTTTTTTGAAACATTGCAGCCAGCTTTTAAACTTCCTAACCGTGACGATGTCAAACTCTCTTCTTGAGAGTATATGAGGAAACTGTTACAACAGCTAAAGAACAAGTAGCAACAGCTTCTAGTGTGGCAATACTATGTGATGGTTGGACTAATATAAGGTAATATAATGGCTTGTTTGATGTATCTAGCTAATTACTGTATTTAAATTACAAACAGTATAACATTTTGATAAAAACATCATATCTACTGGCATTTGTTCTAATCTAACATTAGTATCTATCTTATATAAAAGAAGTTAAATAGTTGTTTTTATTTGTTTTGCAGAAATGAGGGAATCATTAACTTTGTTATTACAGTGCCCAGGCCCATATTTTGGAGCAGCACTGCAACAGGTTTGTTCACATTCATGTCTCAATCATATGGTGTCAGTGTCACCTAACAAAAAACTGAAAAACAATAAATTTAGCTTGATGTCTTATATCTCAAACAATTTTATTTTGAAAATCTTTTTACTGTTAAATTACTGCGCTACTTATTTACAATAGCTAAATCCATTTACTTCTTCAATCTTGGTCATTTGATAACTTGTCCACACACCACTGAATGGCTTTGGCTCAAGTGGGATGAATATATTGTTAACAATTAATAAATTACAAACTGAAAAAAGGTTTAGCATATGCATAATATATCACATACAATAATAGGCTATTAGCTACAAGGGTTATAAATCTCCATCATAATTTTTTTTAATTTCTATAGGTGCAGAAAGTCATACAGGAGAATATATGGCAAGTCTGTTAAAAAAAATGGTTGAAGAAATTGGTGCAATGAAGGTGCTTGCCATTTGCACAGATAATGCTTCAAACACGAAGAAAGCCTAGGCACTTATAAAGGAAGACTTCCCACACATACAGGCATATGGGTGTCTTGCCCATACACTCAACTTAATATTCACAGATACGGCCAATATTAAGTCAATTGATAGCAATCAGCGAGACTGTACACGTGTTGTGAAGGCTATTAAAAATTCCCAAAAGCTGACTGCTATTCTAAAAAAATGCCAGAAGTCATTACCTGGCCAGTCAAGAATCACTGAAACTTCCAGTTAAAACAAGGTATGGTTTTTACATGCTTATTCATGGGTGGTCCGGAAGCTGGTGTAGATGAATCACTATATTGATAAATCCAACAAATAATGTACCAATAAAATTTTATGAGATTTATATTTTCTGATTTATTGTCACTATCATAAATTCATAAATGTCCCTAACTAGGCTATACAGTATAGGTATACACATAACTTTACAATTGCCAAGACTCCAGCACCATTCATAAAGTTTCAATGTTTTCAGATGGGGATCAATAAACCACTGCATGGAAAGTATGAGCAACAACAGAAATGCCCTCAAGTCCTGGCTATTGATGACGAAGCAAAGAAGGCTGGGCTAGACCAAGCAGTTAGAAATCTATTGCTCTCAGAGATTTTCTGGGATAGATTGGATGTGTAACGACCACGGTCTTACACGTCAGTTAGCGCCAAAATCAAATGATTCATATTACGCTTAATAGCCCACAAAACATGTAACTCTGCTTTTATTTTGAGTCCTCCATCTGAGGAGTCCGTTTTCTCATCACTTCAAGACACCTCAGTCCTCCGTTATCCCATTTTCTCTGACTTACTGAAACCAACCTCTCTATATAATGTATTTGAATGTGAGAGAGAACACCTTTGTTTTGAGTCAACTTAGATATGTCTGTTTACAGTTGGAACATTCAAGATCCATTGTGAGTGGTGTTGAACGCTTCAACTGTCCTTATCGTTAGTAAGACGTGTCAAGTAAGCGAGTGTTGAGTTTGCCAGCTAGAGTGGCGTATTTTATGTCGTCCGTGGGGATACCCATGAGTTTCTGATCGCTACTGAAGTTATATTATTTTGTCGCCCCGACATCAGAGAATCTGATGTTTATAGTTTAGTTAGTGTCGGTTGTTTATTTAAGAAAGTCATTAATCTCCTGAACAGTTCCTGTCAAACTCAAAATTCTCCAAGACTTAACGGCCGTTTGACCTGGGATGTGGTTTGCCGTCAGGCCAATAGAGTTGCAAACGCATATATAACTCCATTTCACCTCTTTACTGACAAACTCAATCTCTGATTAAATCATAAATATAGATGTAGAAAATTAGCCTGATCTGTGACACTGACGGTCACAGCTAGGTGTCCAACGACTACTTTGAATAGAGGGCCTATTGTTAGTAAAATTAGTCTTTCTAGTAGGAATATGCCCTCTGTGATTTCTCCTCCACATCTCCAGGTATGTTCACGTGTGTTCCACACCGCCATATTAATTCAGTTTAACTTAGTCAATTTTGTGAATATCAGTGTTCATGTTTTAACATAGTAACTTCCGTGCCAATTGAGTCGAGTAAAGTAGAGATCTAGCTATCGTCTGGACCGGTGCCAGACATATGTTTTGTATAGTGAAGTTAAATATTCACTCCCTCTGTGATTTCTCCTCCACTTCTCCAGACGCGGGTGTGTTAGCAACTCTCCTGAGGTTCGGTAGCTACCTATGGGCAAGAAGGTTCTTGAAGGAGGTCTCTAAGGGGGCGCGATTAGAATCCCAGGACACGATTCCCCCGGGAAGCGCCCTCATAACACTGCCAGTTTGTCACGAGTCAACCTCCCTGGGTGCACCTAGCGAGCGAGCCTTCAGCTTGGCGGTCGCTGTAAACAAATGTGCCCGCTGACTCCACCTGGTGATTGTACCTCATCTATTTGCATGGAGCGGTATTGGCCCATGTTTGGAGGGATAACTAGCAGAAATATAGTATCCCGGGTTAAGTATTGAACCACTGCATGAGAGTTCACAGTACCAGGTTGTTCCTTGTGAACTAACAAGAGGTATTGTATGTTACTATAAGTGTGGAGTTGTCCAGTGTGTTATGTATCCGTCTGTAGTGACCGTGAAAGAATAACCTGAGAGTGTAATGTTCTAACCAAGAATTGAAGAGGTAAATTGTTACTTGTTAAAGTAAGACCTGAGGGTCCAGTGATATCTTGTGAATAATAGTTTCAGAATCTCATTTGTCAAGGTAACAGTACCACAATTGTCTAATGAAGTAATAAGTAGTTGGAGGTATTTAATGAGTAATAAGTTCTTGAAGTGTTTGATGACTTAAGTTAATTGCCGTTCTGTTTAGCCTGAGTGAACCTAAGATGCATCTTATCCACTCACTGTGTTAATAAATATTGAATTAGTAATCTGCGAGTATCACCACTCTACTCCTTCTAAACATTGGTTCCCAGAAAATAATACTTACTCACGTGCCTATACATCTACCACACTACCCAAAAACTTTCCATGAGTTATGTTATCTTCTAACTCAAAAGTCTGGTGGTGGCAGCCTACTTGTAAGTATAATAAGTGCCCTGAGAATAACATGGTTCCCCTAACCCATGTATAAGAATAGACGTAAACCAGAGTATACTTCAGAAAGGTAAGAACATTGAAACTGAGTGAATATAATATACATGAAAGAAATGAAAGACTTGGAAAGTACAAGAAAAGAAAGATAAGACATGTATGTACATTGTGGAACTAACGACACAGCATAGAAATTATTAAATATATACATCATGAAAGTTTAATATAAAGAACATACATAACTGAGAAGAGAATTACTTGTATAAGAATATAAAGTGTTTTTATAAGTTACTAAACCCCCACCCAGCACTACTGGCACGCCATCTATTGTCCTGATCTACCTACCCACCACCACGAGCAACGCCATCTAGGGACGAGACACGTGTATGACTCGTCTTAGTTACCCTCCGAGGTTTCCCTTCTCCATATCCTGGGTTGCGTCACCTCCTCAAAGTCTTCTTTGTCAGCTCCAATTCGAGGAGAGGGAACTTGGCTCTGGGAAGTGACCACAGGATCATCTATCCTCTAAACCTACGTGCAGTGACTACCTACCGTCTTCTACAATACTCAGCCTTACTCGTCAGCCATCTCAGCTCCTCACTTAAGTACATGTATCTTGTATTAACTCCCCCACGTCCACTTGCTTCAAGATTTTATGTTTATTAATATGTATATACATGTTAATGTTTAGGTTAAGTTTGGTTAATTTATAAGCCAAGATTTATTGATTATGGTACTTATTTACACAACCAAAACTCAAGATCCTTTGTCTACCCTTTTATAGTCCCGATTGTCTTTGTTTTTTTTTATTGTTTTACCTGTTGGGATCTGGGTAGACGTATAACTATATTCTAAATCCCCAACTCGTAACAAATGGCGACCGTGACAGGACACGACCTTAAGTACCATATTCCTTCCTCCCTTGTTACTCAGTGTTAATTATTCCTCCCAGTCACTTCTGTTCACAATTGCTTTACGGTAGTTTAAAGTTTCCTTCATATGTGTGTGCATATATTGGTATTATCGTATAGTAAGAGTGACAGACGTAGGATATTAGGTTCCAAGTGTCATAAGGCTTACCTGTTATTACACGTGGCAGTTGTGTAGTAAGTCTTATCGAGTGTTGGGAAGAATCCGGATCTGTTTAATGCCGTACCCTCACTCCAGAGTAGGTTGTTCCATAGTCACTAGTTTACGGTGAAGTGATATCTTGGGACGCCACGCTCTACCAGGACCCCATAATTATAAAGCCTCAATTATTGTTCTTCTCATTATCTCATTCAGGGTCAATCATACCATTTATCAGGGTTGTTAATCCGGATCTTTATATTAATGCCGTAATACGCCCTACCTCTTTCAAGTATATCAGGTTTGTTAATCCGGATCTTTATATTTATGCCGTAATACGCCCTACCTCTTTCAAGTCTCTTATCCTTATCTAAGGATCTTCTCAGAAGAACAATAATCATAAGTGTAATTTCCCTCAGGCATAACTTGGTTATTTTATTTCTGGTTATCCATATCAAGCCGTGATATTTTAGGTTATCCACTTATCTTTATCTTGGGACCATTAGTTAATTCTATCCCATTTTTTCTAACAATGGCCACTCCTTAGGGTGCATCTCCAGGATTTTATTGAAAAATCCTTCAGAGGCTAAATTACGTGTTAATATCCTGAAGAAAAAGAATGGCATGAAAATAGCCAACTATTATAATATCCCATTTTCACAGCAACTGACTAAGGAAATGTTAAAAAATCATGTGATTGAAGTGCTGGTTCAACATGAAGTTTTAAAAGAATCCGCTGTTGACAGATTAACGCCTATGTCCAAGAAACTTCAACCACTATCCACCACCCCTCCTCACTCAGAAGTTGCTTCAGGTCTGGCTAGCCCTCAAGAAGAAACACAACGAATAGACGCCTTGGAACTAGAACGAGCTAGGTTCGAGTTCCAAATCAAAATGAAAGAACTAGAGTTGGAACAGGCCAAGTTGGAGAAGGAGGCCAAGTTGGAGCAGGCCAAGTTGGAGCAGCAGGCCAAGTTGGAGCCTGAAGAAAGGTCGGAACAGGCCAAGGTGCAGCATGAAGAAAAGTTGGAACAGGCCAAGTTGGAACAGGCCAAGTTGGAGCAAAAGTTGGAGCATGAGGAAATGATGGAACGGGCCAAGTTGGAGCAGGAGGTTAGACTGAAAGAACTACAGGTAAGAGAGGTAGAAGTCACCTTAACATCGGAGTTTAGATCAAAAGAAGTGGCATTAAGAGAGAAACTAGCTGCTTTTAACCCTGCTACCGCTTCTTCCCTTGTTCCCGGGTTTGATGAATCCGATATGGACGGGTCATTTAGGACTTTTGAGAAAATAGCCGGGAAGAATGAGGCCAAAGTGACCAGTGGGTGTCAGTGTTGTTCCTAAATTATATGGTAAGGCTCGTAGAGTTTATAGTAACTGTTTAGACCAGACTGTTGATGACTATGATAATGAAAAAAGAATATCCTCACCTCTATGCTATCACGCCAGATGGATACGCAGAAGCTGTAAACTAACTAAACGCATTTTCCCACACCTTGAGTTTGCTCAAGAAAAGCTTAGGTTTTTTGGGTTAGTGGTTAGAGGTTATTAGAGACCTCCACATTTCAGGATTTGTTAAATTTGGTAGTCCTGAGGAGTGGAAGAGTAAGATACCATTTCACATCTTGAAGCATGTGGAGGAGCGTGAGAGGCACTTAGGCGGCTGCTGACGGGCTGATGCGTACGCTTTGTTGGTGGAGTCACTGGGCAGTAGAGAACGTGGTACTTCCCGACATGTTAGGTCCTCCTCTGATGATAACCTTGGGGGCGTGAGTGGTAGGTCGAAAGGTCCCACACCTACCCCTCCTGATGCA